TGGTTCAGCTTTCCGAGTCCGAAAAGCCGAAAGCTAGAATTTGGAATGCTGAAAGCCCAAAGCTGGTTCGAACCAACTTTGGGCTTTCGGCATTCCACAAATGCTGAAGCCTTTTTTTCTCTTCCCAAATTGCCCTCACTCAAATTTCAATATTTCAGTTTTGCCCCTGTTACTGTTCATCTTCTTCACCGCGAGGTTAGCCCGCGAAGGTGGCCGACGAAGGGCTGACAAGGGTTGATCTGGCCGGCAAAGGGCCTGTAAGGGGCCGGCAAAGGGCCGACAAGGGCGGATCTGGCCGGCGAAGGGCCGACGAGGGGCCGGCGAGGTCGCCCGACCCAGGCGAAGGCCACCTGGGGTCGGGCGACCACCCAGGCGCCGTCGCCTGGGTTGCGCGACCTCAGGCGACGTCGGCCTGGGTCGCACGACCCCAGGCGGCCGGCCAGATCCGCCCTCGCCGGCCCTTCGTCGGCCAGATTCGCCTTCGCCGGTCACATTTTGGTGAAAAAGATGAACAGTAACAATGGCAAAACAGGAATATTAAAAAAAAAATTGCCAAAGCCTTTTGCAAAAAAAAAATTGCCAAACACTACTTAGGCCAAAATAGCTTTACAAAATTTTTTTTACTAAACGCCATTTGCATTTTCCCAAGTGGCTTTCATCTAAAAGTATTTGCATTCCCCCAAATAGCATTTGAAAAGCTGAACCAAATGGGCCCCTAGACCCTAGATTCACTTCGAACTTATGGAAGAGTCTCCAAGTGGCTTTAGGAATGAAGCTTCAGTACAGTACTGCATTCCACCCACCCATATAAAGATTTGTTTAACTTACAAACCTTATTCTCATTTCCAAGTAGAACAAAACCTTTAGGTTGTTCCATATACACCTCATCTTCTAGTTTACCATTTAGAAAACCTATTTTAACATCCATTTGATGCACATGCAATTTATAAATTGATGCCAAAGCTAATAGAACTCTAATGAATGTCATTCGAGCAACTGGTGCATATGTATCAAGCTTACATTATATATATTGAACCACGTGTCTTTATTATCTTTTGCTTTTCCTTTTTTATTAAACAAAATCTTGCAATCCATGCATTTCTACTCTCTTTCTATTAAATCCATAATACTTGATTTGTTTCATAAAATATGGTTATCGATGCATAAATTTACATGCATTTTTTTCATAATTTTTAGAAATTCAAATGATATTTTTTATTTTGGCAGGAAAGCAAAAAAGTTAAATGTTTTCCTTTCACTTAATCCTAAACAGACATGCCCATTATTCCATTTTCTACATTTTGTTTTTGCAAAATCAATGGTGATCTTGCTAATTTCTTTGTTACATCATAATAAGAGATCTTGAATTCCCAAATTCATTATGGATTGAACTTGACGTGTTTCATCTCACCTAATTCAGCTATTATCTTTAAATAGATCAATCTTTCTTGATTTAATTTATTTGAGGTCCTAATATATTAGCATTTATTCACCTCACACATATAGCAACGGTCGTGGCTCTCTTTTGGTTCCAACCGCAATTACCATGCACTTGTGGAATAAGATGATTGATTCACTAGGCAATCTCGAATGTGACATTTTGTTTGATAATTAACCCTTCCCCCAATTTGGCCAAGAAGGGAAATTTTAGTTTTTGTTTACTCTTCTTACTACTGCTATCCATAGTTTCGTTAGCTGCCGTTATAGATGACATTGATTTGCACACGTATTCATTTGTGCCAAAATCAGACCCCGTTTCATCATGACGAGGGTCAACCTACTGCGTTGAAGTTTTTCCAGAATCAGATCACTTTTGTTCTAAGCTAGAAATGTATATTTCAAAATGCCTTACTTATTCGAAAATTCAGCTAGAATTTGTGCACTACTTCATAAATCATATAGTTGTTTGCTATCAGCTTGACAAATAATTCGATGCGCCATCTAGAGGCATGAGAGCAATGGCCCGACTATATAACGACTCACAATTTAGCTGCAAGTTGAATGTATTGGTAAGTTCAGGCTATTGATTTATTAAAGAAAACACTAAGTTAAATGAGACTTTGTTTTTCGAATCTATCCAACTTTTGAAATTAAATATGCTGAACCAAAGAACTACTTTGGTCACACAAAGTGATAATCACAAATGGACACGAGCAAGATTAAACTAATAAAAATTCTTGAGAGGCACCCAAAATATAGATATAGAATGAGATTCCATTGCCCGGCGAAATAAGGTTTTACCTATGAACGGTTGCTCCTCCGTGCTGACTAATAGAGGGGAGTAAGGGCTCAATTTCTTTTTCTTCTTTAAGTAATACTGGGCGCCATATAATGCGGGAAAATGAAATGGGCAAGATCTAAGTAGATTCCTCTAATGTTTATCCTCACTATATTTGCACATTTCCATGTATGCATATCTCATGGAACACGTCACTCGCATCAACCTTCTGTCCTGATCAGACAATGACTTCCTTCATGTTTTTTCCAGCATTGACACAGAACTGGTCAAAAGAGGAAGCTTCTTGAGTACTATTTTCCCGACATAAAAAAATGACACCTTTCTTGATTATATAAAAGCCACCATGAATCACGCTTAATTATAATTTTTTTTTGCCAGAGTAAGCCCCAAGGAAGGACCCCATTATCTCCTCCACCTCGTTAAGTGTCACTTTTGACTAAAGCCCAGTAGCATATTATGCATTGAACCTACAGGACCAAGCAATTGCCCCTGATTGGAGCAAATCTACATCAACCAATTTTCTGATTAAGCGAGTTATACATCTCTTAAGTATATTTTTACTCAAAATTGCATGAGGGTAATATCAATATTTAAAAGGGTTAATATTACGAAAAACCCCAAACTGGTAAACCTGTGATAAATTTATCATGAACTAACTTTTTTCCCATAAAAAAAACCCCAACTGGTACACCTGTGACAAATTTACTCCAAACTAATTTTTTGGCTACCAAAAACGTCAAACTGGTACACTTGTGACAAATTTACCTTCTGTTAAATTGGATTAATACCGCAAAAAATCACAAATTGATAAACCTGTGACAAGCAGAGAGGTAAAATGCCAAACTGATACATCCGTCAACTACCACGTGTCATCAAACTCAGTAATTTGACGGTAAAATTTAATGGAAACTAACAGAGGGTAAATTTATCACAAGTGTACCAGTTTGGGGTTTTTTGTGGTTAAAAAATTAATTTGGAGTAAATTTATTGTAAGTGTACCAGTTTGGGGTTTTTCGTTGTAGCCATATTTAAAACCCACTAATTAGAGATACGATACGAGGAATTCCATCGATCAGAGATAAAAGATAAAAACACAGTCCTTCTCAAAAATCGAGAAATCGATGACTTGTATATATTTCAGACACGTCAAACACGTGCATCTTTTCATAACTCTTTAGTATCACAAGAAGGATATGGTGTTACCAAGTAGCAATGTATAAATGACATAACATTATATAACGTAGATTTTCGCATCGGCTTCAACTGCGTCAAAGGGTTCGACTTTTTACCTTGTATTTGGTTTTTGTTAACTTGTTGACTTTTGAGGTTTGTTTGTTTTCCACTAAAGAACCACTTGCAAAGCGAGTAATAATCATTCCATTTGTGTTGCTTGGTTGCACGAGTGATTGATACTTTCATAGCCCCAAAAATACTTGATCTATTAACTTGATGATCTGTAGCCTATGCTCATATAGCTGATTTGGCAGGACCATGTGAGAACAAGATGATTGGCCAAAAAAGTAAATTAAAATAAGATGAGAAAGAAATAAAGCATATACAAATACATTTCATGATTGTCAGCTATGCGACAAAAAGTATCAATCATCTCGGCCGTCGATGCACGTGAGCGTGATTTTTATTTTGAAATTTGCGATTTGGGTGTACCAGCACAAACACAATATGAGAATACAATATGTATGGCAAGATGAGTTCGGTTTTTTTTTTTTTTGGAAAATATCACCAAAAATTTCAAATTATGCCACTTGTGATAAATTTACCCCGAACTTTTTTTTGTGACACGAAAATCCCCAAACTATGCCACTTGCGACACATTTACTCCACAATACATTTATCCATGGGCATTTTCGTCTTTTTCTTTTTTCTATTTTTTTTTCCTTTTTTTTTCTTCTCTCTTCCCCTCTGCCGTGGATGGCGGAGGGAAGCCGGCGAGGGTCACCCGACGCCGGATCCGGCAAGGGTCGCCCTCGTCGGATTTGGCGAGGGCCGCCTTCGACCGACGCCGGCGAGGGTCGCCCTCGCTTGAGTCGGGCGAGGGCCTCCCTCGCCGGGTTCCCTCCACTGACCACGGCGGAGGGGAAGAGAGAAGAAAAAAAAAAGACGAAAATGCCTATAGACAAATGTATTGTGATGTAAATGTGTTACAAGTGGCATAGTTTGAGGTTTTTTGTGTCACAAAAAAAAGTTCATGATAAATTTATCACAAGTGACATAATTTGAGGTTTTTGGTGATGTTTTCCCCTTTTTTTTTGTTGAAAAGATGAGTTCTTTTTACTAATATGCTTTCCAAGTTGTTACTCCACGGATCTGGTGTATCAGAACGTTTTTTTACACCTAGAGTCTAAAGGTGTAGATTGATGTTGTTTAGAAACTAAAACACAGTCATCCTTTTTTTTTTTTGGTCGGAAAAACACAGTCACTTGAAAGGTCGAGATTAGAGATGGTATGTTTATTTCGGATTTTGTATAGTACATGATATTTTTTGCCAAAAGAACAAGGGCTCGACTCAAATGAAGGGGCGAAAGGGCAAGGACGAGCGACGGTCAAGGAGTCGCGAGGGACCATTGAATCACTGTTACTGCCACTCCCCTCTACACATTCGCCAGGTTAAGACAAATTAGCAGACGTATGCCATGACAAAACCCAGGAGACCTCCGTCGTTGTGCGGGATCTGTCCACCTCACGTGGTCTGAATTATCCCACTTGGCGGAGTTGGTGTTTGTATATAAACGCCCCTGTCGTCTCACGTCTCTTTGTGGATTCGAGTTCGAAAGTTGAAGGAGTACAGAGCTCGGAAGTGAAGAGCTTGGAGCCAGAGAGCAGCAGGAAGAACAGCAACAGAGTTGAGAGAAGAGAGAGAGAAGATGAAGAAGGCTCAGTTGGAGTTACCAGCGGGGTTCAGGTTCCACCCCACGGACGACGAGCTGGTGAACCATTACCTGATTCGCAAGTGCGCTTCTCACCCCGTCTCCGCCCCCATCATTGCCGAGATCGATCTCTACAAGTTCGACCCTTGGGACCTTCCAGGTATCTTGACACACTCCCTCCCTTCCTCTGCTTCTCCAGGCTCTGTTCCTGAACAATTTCTGTTTCTGCTTGTGTTCATTTTGGTGAATCATCCCATTCTGGGAAGAGGGTCGGCGAGTTTTGTCACTCTTTCGGGTGGTTTTGTTGTAAAAAAAAATCCGTTCTTTATTTGGAATTATCATTGTAAGAAGAAATGTATTCCTCTAGTTCTTATCTGATGCCTCTAGGGAGGTCCAATGTTCGACAGTTTGAACTTCTCATTTTGATATGTGGGTCAAGAAAAGGGGTGATTTCTTCATTTGCTTTCTCTTTGTCAAGCATCAAGCATGATGGTTTTGACTGTGATTTTTTTACTTTTCAAGATCTCTTATGAATTTGAAACGATTTTATTGTCTGCTAAGGGTCGTGATTTCTGATGGCGTTTGGCTTGGAATTGCAGAAATGGCTCTCTACGGCGAAAAAGAATGGTACTTCTTTTCTCCAAGGGACCGCAAGTACCCCAACGGGTCACGGCCGAACCGGGCAGCCGGAACCGGGTATTGGAAGGCAACCGGAGCAGATAAGCCGATCGGCCGCCCGACGACGCTTGGCATAAAAAAGGCGCTAGTATTTTATGCTGGAAAAGCTCCGAGAGGAGTGAAGACCAATTGGATCATGCACGAGTACCGCCTCGCCAATGTCGATCGATCTGCTGGCAAGAAGAAGAACTTGAGGGTAATTACTCTCTTTCCCCTCTTGTGACTGTTTTTATTATTCCCGCACATGTAATTGGACGAGTTCGTAAACAAAATTCAATGATTAACATCGATCCTTGCTATTGTTGCAGCTTGATGATTGGGTTCTATGCCGGATATACAACAAGAAGGGCACCATAGAGAAGTATTTCCCTTCCTCGCACAATGAAACGGTAGAGTTCCCCGAGATGGAGACCAAGCCGCAGATTGATATGCCGGCGGCACTGAACCCGTACACACCTCCCCAATATGGGCATTCGCCGACGGCTACGGATCACATGTACATGGACTCGTCAGATTCAGTGCCGAGGCTGCACACGGATTCTAGCTGCTCGGAGCACGTGGTGTCCCCGGACTTGGCGTGCGAGAAGGAAGTGCAGAGCGAGGCGAAGTGGGAGGATTGGGAGAAGGACCTCGATTTCCAATTCAGTTCGATGGATAACTTCTTGGATGATGCTTTCACGCAAGGACAGGTTCAGTTGGATCTGTTCTCGCCTCTTCAGGACATGTCCATGTACTTGCACAAGCCATTTTGAACAGGTCCGTTGAGGAACACAGAAGTCGGATTCTCTTACAGGGGCCTGAATCATTCCATTCGTGTTGGTTCTCATTGAAATGGCGTGATCCACTGGCATGGTGATCAATCAAGACCATCTCTGTCTTGGACTAATTGCTCTTTGTGGGGCTACAGACTAGAGTTAGTCCTAGGATTTTTCATAGGTTTTGCCAGAGAGAGAAGCGATCTTGTTGGTTCTGTGGTGGTCCGTATAGCTGGTGTTTAGAACGGTGATACCTGCCGTTCTGACCTGTAAATATCTGATGAAAGTCTCTAGGGAAATTGTTTGCTCTAAGATTGCAGCAAAAGTGTTTCCATATTTTATTTAGTGAAAGATTATTTCAGCTTTTATTCTTGTTGTTAATTTAACTTTTTTTTTTGCTAGAATGTTGTTAATTTAACTTAATAGAGTTCAAAAACAACAATTTTATGGTCCATGGAGAGACGGATCTTCGTGTCGTAACAAGTCATAATGTTTTGTATTTTTTCGTAACTGCTATACAAAATGTCATAAGACACATTTTAAGGATTTTATGATCAAAGGGCGAGATTTAATTATCATTTTTTATTTGACATTTATCGAGTGATTGGGGATCTATCTTCTAAGGATTTTTAAGAGTACATGTTCAAAGCATTCGTGCAGACTGGAAAAGTGGGATATTTGCCTTTCTTGTTTCGACTTCCTGCGGAACTGTTTCATGCCATTACATCAAGAGATTGCTCATAAATATAATTATTCAAAATGCTGAAGATACTTTGTCGGTTTACAAAATCGGTTTATCAAATATTAATGACAATCTCCTGTTGGATAATTAAAATATGAAAAAAGAAAATGGATAAGGAAGGTGGAAAAATGTAAGAAAAGAAAAGAAAAGAAAAGAAAAGAAATAAATAATTAGAATAAAACACATGGTTCATTTCACTTGGACCAAACCCCACTTTCCATATAAAACAGTACCGACGGCCGACATGAACAAGTGACTTTTCCACCGTGCATGGACTGTCGTATTGTTGACCGAGACGCATACCTACCTATTGGGCAAAGAAAGGTCATTAGAATGAGCCCCATCTTTTATGTTACAAGATAAGGATAGGGATTTTCCTGGTTTTCACTCGTGAGGTACAAATTTGTCCCGATTCGTACCTTACAGATCACTTCGAGCATCTCAATCCCCGATTTACTTTTTTCAAGACTTCATTGATGAGGCGTAACATGTCGGTTTTATTAAGTACTTCCGCATTCTATCATTCATGCCAAGTCAGCGAAATGGACAATTAGAGACGGGAACACTACGACGCAATTACTTCGATCAGATCAGTTAAAAAGATTTGAGAGCACCAAAAAAGAATCAGGGCACTCGATAGAGTGTTTTGCCATAATTAGAATAAAAGCATATCTAACTGTAAGTTGAAATAACTCTCTAGAATCTATTAACTAGAAAAGTTAATAAAGCAATTCGAATTTTGGTACAACTACTTGAAATAGAAATACCATAATTTGCGAAATCTCTAATTAGTTTTATGGAAGAAACTTAGGTTGCTTTTGGTTGGACTTTTAGGGAAAGCCGTTAGGAAATGCAAAGGATTTTAAATTAAAGAGGTTTTCCGAAATGTAAATTATATTTGTTAAATTGTAATTTAAAAGTCCATTGAAAAGCAACTTTGAGTTACATAGTGTTTAGAAAAAATTATTCTTACAACGGGCTTTTCCTTTTTTTTTTAATTAAAGAAAAGGAAGAAAAACTCAAACCCTTTGTCGGCTCCGACGAAGGGCTCAGTTCGCCGGCGGCCATCGCCTGAGGTTGCACGACATCAAGTGGCCGCCAACGACCCTTGGGAAGGGCCGCGCGACCTTAGGCGAGGTTTGCCGGTGCCAGATTGGCTTGTTGATAGTCAGATCTGGCCTCACTGGTGACGTTGCGTGAGGTATGGACATTTCCAGAATTACGAAAGTTTAAGAGAGAAAAATGTATTTACATTTCAAAAATGCTTAAGCCTCAAAATACCTAAAATGCAGTTGTATCTTCTTAAAGCTCTCTAAAAGAATTAGCTAAAGGGTGTCCACCTTTGTTCAAAGAACTTTGGAGTCCAAAGCCTCCTTGGGAAAGTAATTCCCAAACCAGCCTAATTCTTTTGAGTGACCACTTTTTTTCTCTTCTTCTTCTTTTTCTTCGCTGGATGTTGAAATAAGGGCGGTGGAGACACAAGTATCAGGAAACGTCAGTGGGAAAGGAGATTCGAGAGTCGATCGACTAGTACGACGTTCTTCTTGTCCTGCGGGGGTGCGCAGCATCGACGCAGCTTCCGAATATCCCAAGGGAGTGCGTGCCCCCACGTCACGTGCATGGCCGATTGAGGTCATGCACGACGTCACTCGGACAAGACAGAAGGTCTTCGTTCCTTAGCAGCAGAACCCGAAGCTTCTTCCATGGCTATGTCTCTCACTCTCTTTGATCAATTGGCTTGTCGCTAGCGATGACGTGAGGCCCAAGCATCGCACCTTCATTTTTGCAATTTTTGACCGGGACAACACTGGCTGCTCCCGGTTGCTTCAGCCTTAATTAATCTTTAAAGACTTATCCTTACAACGTATGTATTGAACCCACACGCATTATGACTTTATTATCTTTTACTTTTCCTTTTTCATCAATCAAAATCTTATGATCCACGCAATTTTACTTTTTTTTTAAGCCAAAGTTGTGACATTCCGAATTTTGGCCCATTTTTGGGATTTATAAAACGTATAATTCGTCAGTGCGCTTATAATAAAATCTCACCCGGAACTGATCACTCCTGGGTTTTTATTATTTTTAAAATTTGAGATTTCGCTAGAATCGCACTCGATCGAATTTGGCCGTTATTTAGAGCCCAAACTTTGGTGTCGAATTTCTCGGAGTTCCGGGACGAATTTAATTGGACGGTGTCGATATTATTGTGGCCAGCGTCGGTATTACCCGGAGTATGTGAAAAGTGGATTTTTGACCGGGTGCGGATTTGGACTGGTAGACCTCCCTCGTGGTGTGTTTTGGCATATTTTATTTTGGCCATTTTCCTATATTATTAATTAGGATTATAGGGGACCGTTAGATCGTTTTCGGATTTGAACCGTGTCCGTTGGATCGCACTCGAGTGAGAGCTTTGACTTTGAGTCTCTCTCTCTCTCTCTCTCTCTCTCTCTCTCTCTCTCTCTCTCTCTCTCTCCTCCCTCTGCCGCGCTGAGCACGTCCCCTCCGCGCACGTCCCACCCCCTGCCATGCGCACGTTTCCCCCCCTTCCCCATGCAACTCTCTCTCTCCTCTTTCTTTTTCTTTTCTTTTCCTTTCTTTCTCTCTTCTCCGCTTCTTCTTCCTCGTTGGCTTCTTTTCCCCCGACCGGGTTCCGCTCCGCCGTGCCCCGCTCGCCGACCGCCGTTCGACCGCTGCCCGCCTCCGCCCAACGCCGCCCACCGCCCGATGCCGCCATCCTCCCCGCGCCGTCGTTGAGCCGCCGTGTCGCCCGGTAGCCCCAACCGACTCTGCCTTCTCCTCCTCCCGAGCGCGTGAGCTCGGCTCGCCGTCGCTCCAAACCCGCCGCGAGCCGCCGCCGTGTCGCCTAGCCGCCCCCGTCGCCGCCGCCGCCCGTCGCGCCTTGTCCGGCCGGATCGCCGCCGCCGCCCCCCCTTCCTCGGCCCTGCCTTCTCTCTCTCACCCTCGCCCTCACCGCCTGTGCCGACCTCCATCTCTCCTCCAGCTCGCCGCCGCCGCTGTCGGGGCCGTCCGCAGCCCGCCAGCTGCTGCCGCTGCCACAGGCCGCGCTGCCGCTGTCGCTGCCGCAGCCGCCGCGCCGCTGCTTGCTGTGCCGCCGCTGCTCGCCGCCGGCCCGCCACCCCCTCACCCTCTGGCCTCCTCTCTCTCTCTCTCTCTCTCTCGCTCCCACCCCGGCCGACCTCCACCCCGGCCGACCTCCACCTCCCGCAGCTCGTCGTCGCCGCTCGCCACCACCGCGCCGCCGTCGCCGTCGCCGTAGTGCCGCCGCCGCCGGTCACCGCCCCGACCAGCCTAGCCTGCCCGACCAGCCCAAACGCCCAGCCGTAGCCGGCTCGTCGCCCACGCGACCAAGCCGCGCGCCCGTCGCCGTGCCCGTTCCCGAGCCCGTGGCCGAGCCTTGTGCCCGTGGCCGAGGGCTGCCCATGGCCGAGCGCCGTGGCCGAGCTCGCCCGGCGCCGTGCCCGTCCGACCAGGCGCGCGTCGCCCGTCCGACTAGGCGCGTCGCCCGTCCGTTCGCCGTGCGCCCCCGGCACGCCGCACGGCCACGCGCCGCGCTGCGCCAGGCGCGCCGTCCGGCCATTGTGCCCGCGTTGGCCGGCCACCGCGCCCGTTGGCCCGTGCCCGCGCCTAGTTCGGACTGTTCACCCGGGCCATTTTAGGCCCGAGCCGATTTTCTCCGGGCCAAAACCAAGTAAGTGACTTCCTAAATCCTACCTAGTACTTTGGGTATTTTTAGACTTGTTTAGGATGTGATTAGTACCGGGTTAGGAATTAATTTAGGCATGGGCTAATTAGATTGAGTGTGCCTAATTGATGAATTATTGTGGTGATAATTGTGTGGCTAATTTAGTGATTGACTGAGGTAAATAGCATGACTGAATTGTCGTGGCCCTTGTGGGTGAATTGGAATTTATTGAATGTGTTGACTTGAATGTCGGGTCGGTGGACCGATGTCGGGAGCATGAATTGAGTTGACTGATGTGGCGTGCTAGATTAACATTGGTGAATGGGTGGTGATTGAAATTGATTTATATGACTAAGAGCATGGTGAATTTTGTATTGTGGTGCATGTGCATGAGAAAAGCCCGGCTTGATCTGAGGGCTGACCTGAGGCGCAGTAGCGCGGGTCGTGGGAAAGTGTGAAATGTCCAGTGAGGGACGAAGCCCGGCTTGATCTGAGGGCTGCCAACCTGAGGCGTGGTTACGCGGGTGTGGCTAGAAATGCAAGTAAGGACCTGAGGCGTGGTTACGCGGGTCG